CCCCAAAACCCCAAAACCCCAAAACCCCTTTATTATGGGCTTTAATTGAAAATTAACTTATGATTATGTCGTCTAAGTCACTGTCAGTATCTTCTTTAGTGACTTCATTGTGGAGAGGGGTGGTAGATGGGGGAATGTGGGTAGGGGGAATTCAGGATTTGCAGTTTTGGCAAATTGTGAAGGAGATGTGAGGGGTGTGGCCTAGTTTTATGGTGTTTTCGAGCTCTGGATCGATTTTTTGAGTCGATATATGGGATTCTAAGAGTTCTAAAGCATATTTTATGAGTTCTGGTTTTTGGATTTCGATATTTTGATCAGTTTGGGCTGCGTTTTGACAGGAGAAAGCATCTTTTGAAATGTAAATTGTTGGATTTTCCAATGTTTTGGATGAGTTCTGAAGTCCGTTAGATCATTTGAATCCAAAATTAGGTGGATCTGGTTTCTTGAAGTTAGTAAAGTAAGGATTTATTGCAACCTTCTCAGTAAACTCCACTATTTTAGGTGCCTCCTTCTTCAAAACTACCTGATTGTTTTGTTTACTTCAGAAATTTTTCATGCTCTGCTGGATCTTCACATCTCTCCTCACCAAGAAAGGCTTATTAACAAACTCTTTCTTTGGTTCCTCTTCAACCTTGTTCTCTTTTTGTTGTAGCTTTTGAACTACTTCTTTCTCCTCTTGAAACTTGAATTTCCCTTGAGGTACTTGCTTCATCTCTGTCTTCTTGGGAATCTCAGGTTGTTCAACTTTTATATCTTTCAAAATTGGGTCTACCAATGTTTCTTTAGGCTTCTTCCTCACAACAGTTTTAGGTGCATTTCTTAGCCTAGCTTTTGGAACTTTAGCAGTTTTTATAATTATAGCAGCTTCCTGACGTTTCTTTTGCTGGAGATAATCCTTCTTTGCTTTCTCCAAAGCCTCATTCTGTGCTTTATCCTGCTTCTTCTCAACAGGAGGTCTCTTAGTTACTACAACAGCACATTTCTTCTTCTCTTCCTTTTTCTTTTTGTTCTCCTTCTCTATCCTTTTCTTCTCCTTCATAATCTTGCGGGCATGCTTCTTTTGATAAATCTCTTGCTCCCGCTTCTTCCCCATTTGCATGAAGGCCTTCCACTTATCCGTAGCCTTGGACTGCTCTTCTTTATGTAAAACCTGAGGTTTCCTTATCACCACCTTACGTTTCTCCTTTTCCTTCCTCAACTTCTGTGCTTTCCGCTCTTCATTCCTCCTCTTCCTCTCTATAGCCCTGGCTTCCTTCTCTTCCTGCAGTCTCTTCCGTCTTTCTTCCTTCTTAGCTTCCCTTTCTGCCTTCTTAAGTTCCTTGACCCTCTCCTTTTCCGCTTTCCTAAGTTCCTTTTCTACTTTAAACTCCTCATCAGTCTTCTTATTCTTCCCTCTCTTGGGCTTCTTGACATTTCCTAGATCCTCTTGTTCAAGGTCAAGGTCACATTCTGAGTCTTCAGAGTGGAGGCTGCCCTCGTCTGTGAAGTCTAGGTCATCTTCTTCGGCATCGTAGGCGGGGAGGGAGGAGTCTGGCTGCTTGTTCTTCTTGATAATTTGATGCTCCTTTCCATTCTTAGCGTCATCAATGTGCTTCTGTAAGTGCTTTGGGCAATAAATCGGGCACATTTCAATATCATCTGGGAGATTTAGCAATTCTGCAGTCTCTTCAAAATCTAGGATCAGTTCTTCTTTTATTCCACATGTTGGGTGAAACATGTAGTTGCAATTACCATGATCACACTACAAAATTTCAACTCAAATCTTACCAAAATCAAGGCTCCTTGCTTCTTCTTACAAATTTTACATTTTGACTGAGTTCGCCAACTCTGAAGAGAGTTGACCATAATTCCTTCTTTGTACCTATAAAATCAAACAGGTTGGCTTACTTTTCGTTCTTGTACCAGATCTCAGCCATCCAGTTAAGGCAAACCAAGTGACCCCATTCCTTCTGGTTAATCCTCTTCATTGGTCCTTCCACAACAGGTCAGAATGAGCACTTGACTTCTTTAGGCTTTATACAACTATTTATGGAGTATACACACCTGTGACAGAACCAATCTGTCTTAGGAAGATCTTGGGCGATTTCGCTGCCATAACAGCTCTGATGCACTGCGATCATTCAGCCTTCACAGAAGAGGATCTCGTCGCCTTCATAGCCCACTCCGCTCTGGCAGACCTCACAGACTACGTCTTCGTCCTTCCCTGTTAGATTCTTCTGCTCTACTACTCCTTCGAAATTCTCAGATTTGTTCTTATAGAACTGGCTTTCTTTCAAGTCTTCTGCTTTAACTCCACCATCGTCTTTGACCACTTCAACGCGAAGGGCCACTAGGCCATTCGAGAAGGGCGAGCTCAGCTCGTGACACTTCTCAGGCTCCTTCGTGGAAGCCTCGACTTTGTAGTCGCCTTCGTCTTCACTGAGTTTCCCAGTGGAAGATTCATCGACTTCAAGCTCATCGAACTGGATGTCGATGATGTTGGTGTCATCGAGGGGCTGGTCGGCCAGATCTTGGCCGACCAAATCGTCGTTAATGTCCATATCGCCTAAATCGAAGGTGATCTTGTTGTCATCCCCAGTTTCTACTTGAACCATTCCAGGTGAATCTTCTTCAAAGTTTAGGTCTCCTTCTTGAGAAAAGGTATTCAAAGGCTGTCCAAAGTCATCATCTGAATCAAACCCTCCAAGGTCATCCATTTTCTATATATACTTACTATCCCAGCCACGGTTTCTTCTTTAATGTCTAAATTACGCTAAGTGAGCTTTAAACTCTATTTCGGTTCTTTCAATTTAGATTTAAACGCTTGGGGTTTTGGGGTTTTGGGGTTTTGGGGTTTTGGGG